ATATTGTTTTTGAAAGACAAAAACAAATAATTGTGATGTTTTTTTAGAGTTTCTAAGATAAATTCACATTCAAGAGAAATAACTTTTTTCATTGAACTGACATAAAATGTAGTTTTTTTAATTAAACTTTTTAACCTTACAATCATTTCTGCTTTCACACAATTGACACAATTGTCAATATTAGTACAGAGAAATATTAAACGCAGGGTAAATATTTAACACTCAGTGCATTTTATTATTGTGTTTCATTCCCAGATGTGGGTCAGAAACTTTCACTTTTTTATTATCAGTAATATGTTTAATTGTTTTAAAATCTGTTAGGAGTGTAAAAACAAACAAAGAAAAACAAGCCTTGGCTGTTTGAAATTAGTCCCAAATTTACCTCTTATTTTGTTTTTGTCTTGTCTGTGTTGTTTACTTCCATTATGTCATGATATACTGTATTATGACTACTTCTATTGCCATAACTGACTTGTATTAGCCAGTGTATTGCATTTAATTTGGTAAAGAAAAGCAAAAAATATTAACTTTTTTGTGGAAAATTTAGGATGTGACATTACTTTAAATTTTGAAATGTTAAACTTTAACAAATTCTGAGCCAAGTACTTTTTTGGACTGTTGACAATAAAACACACAGTGGTTCTTTTAAAACATAACAAATGAGCCAACGTGTCATTTATTCGACCGTCTCTTTTCCTGTAAAGCACCTGACAGAAGTGATGAAATGCTCATAAAAACATGAAAATGCTCACCGCTCTGTTCTGTGCTGCCTGAGTCCAGAGTGTGCAGATAGATGGTGTACTTTGTGATGAAGCCCCTCCGCTGATCCACAGGCAGCTCGTCCCACTGGACCAGGACCTGCCTGGATTTATGGACCAGGAAAAACAGGTTGGGAGCAGAAATTGGCTCTGAAACACACAGATGGGGAATAACTGATTTAAAAACCAAAGATTTTGTAACAGTTGTGTTAAAAGTTATAAAAAAATAGAAAGTAGTTAAGTTTATAATAATTGTAGTAATAAAAATACATTTTATTTGAAGGCAGCTTTCAAGTCTCCCACGGTCATTGAACAAGTAAAACAAAACAGTAAAAAAAACTATAAAACAATCAAAAGCAGATATCAATAAACTCAAACACAATTAATGGTAAAATTAACTGATGTTAAACAGAATAAGCAGGTTTGAAAAAAATGAGTTTTCAGGTCAGATTTAAATCAGAACAGAGTCAGAATCATGGATGTGCTGTGGGAAAGAGTAGTAAATGTAGGAATTACTCCATGAAATTAGGACCAGCCTATTTTTCATAAATGTAATCCAGCAAGACCTTGCAAAAAATGAAATCAGAAAATAATGAAATACCCCTCTGATCATGAATGAGAATAGAACTTGTGATCTTGTCAGATTTCTCAAATAAAGTAATTTATTTTAGATACATGACCAGAATAAACATACAAACATTTCTTAAA